TTTGAATAGTTTGAAACTATTGTATTTAGTAATCATGTATGTATAAAAGTATAGTATCCTAGGTAGTTGTGTAATATATAACACTTTGTAATAGTCGGTTTGTATCCAATCGTTTGTAATCACTTTATCAATGTAAAATATTGTTTTTATGAATATGCATGTAACATGTTTTGGAGTAACAACTATCAAATATGAAAGTGTGGGTGAAAGTGATTTTGATTCCCCTCCATAAACCACAAGCGGTAATGATGAACTACAAGTTTCATGTTGGGGATCATTAACTATTTTTTTTCTTTGTTTTGGTTCAATTTCCATTTCATCTTCTTCATTTAGCTGTTCAATGACAACACCATTACTCTTATTTGGTGACATGAAGTATGTAACCAAGTTGGTTGTGACATGTTCAGTATACACCTGGATCACCTTGTTAGCTCCAGTATATTTAGCTAAGTTACACATATCATGATCTTTACCTCGAGCTTTAAGGCCAAAAATCAAGTCTTCATTGGGAATCCTGAAGTGATAATATATTACTAGGGGAACCACGTATCCTAGTTCTAGCATCATAGCGCCGAGTTCATGCACTTGAAACTCATCTATATCAACTAAATCAATATACGTAGGTTTCCCCTTAACATATCTTACATTTGGAAAATGTGTGAACTTCCCACCATGGTGAAATTCAATCGTGAACAAATGGGGATGATCGACTATCTCAAACAACAACAATTACAAAATGTAGTTAGCATATTGTGTAAAATTTCAAAAAATCTAAGTTTAAAAAGCTATAATAACACTCACCATACAAATCCAGTGCATCAAACCCCATCGTGTTAGGACGTATAGTCCACAGTGAATGCACCATTTTTTCCTTCTACCTTTTGGACTGCAACTTTGCTAAAGAAACGATTTTGGGTGGAAATAGTTGACTTAGGGTTCGAACGACAATGGAAATTGAACGAGGAAGAAGCTGGAGTGTCTGATGTTTTTGGGCATCGTTAAATGCGCGGTAATAGATGAGCATTCTCCCATAAATGAAAAGACAAAAATACCCTCGTGTGCATGGCACGTGGGGAAGTAAATGGAATGCTTCTAACGGAAGTTAGAGGCAAGGACCAAATCCACAGCTCAAACTTCAAATAAGGACGTTTTTTGCTAACAAAATATTTTTTGGACCTTACCCATAAAAATCGTCAAACCACATGGACCATTTTTGCAATTTTGTGTTAAATGGCTTGATGATATTAAATTCATAATCAATAATTGTAGCCGACATTTTGAAAATTGCAATAAAATACAATCAATATATAATATAATGATCACTCTTAAATTGATTTGAACAAAAAGGAAAAACATATTTCCCAATATTAACCAAAAAAAACAGTAGTTATCGTAGATGTATCAAAAAAAAACCATACGTCATTTTAGATACGATGCTTTGGATTTCTTTTGGTAGGGTCTAGTTCAAACTAATGCTTATGTGATTATAAACTATTTATGGAAAAATTAATTTGAAGTAATGAGATCAAACTATATTAGGATAAATGTAGGAAAAATACAACCTTATTTTGTGGTTGGTTTATGATTCATAGGTTAAAGATGTATCCACGTATTCGCCATGTTAATCCACAAGAAGAATTAGGCCCCCTAACTTTACGTATTAAGCTCTAATTCCAACCATTAAACCAAATTGGTAAGTTTAGTTTGGTTTCTTATATCGTACTTTGCTTCTGATTGAAAGAAAAAAAATTAATAGTTTTTTTCGATTTTAATTTGTGGTTTCTAATACTGTGTACAACCAAACAATGTGTTTATATAATGGTGTTGGTCAATAATCCATTATTGTATTTTTTTATATTCTAAAAAAATCTTAAATTCATAACCAATTTTAAATAACAGGGTGGATAACAATGGAAGCACACTCTTAATTTTTGAGATTCAATGCTTTTGATACTTTCTTATTTTTATCACTTAATTGTTCGTCAGCTTTTTAATTGTTAAGTGAATGAATTGTATCTGAATTCAAAATAAATAAATAAATAAATAAATAAATAAAACCAATGTGAGACTATCAATTTAGTATAGGTTTTACCTCTTAAAATGTATTTTTTTTAATCACTCGTCCCCTAGAGTGTGTTTGCATTGTAATACTGTTAGTGGTTAATGCAATTTAATTAAACAAATATTATCATAATTAAATTTAATAAACATTATATTATTATAATTAAATATAAAATACATTAATTATAAAGAATATTATTTATGATTAATATTTATCACATTTAAGTATGGTAATCTTCCTTACAATTCATGTTTCTTATATCTACCTTTAGGGTGCATATTAAAAAAAAAATTCATATATGAAATAATTTTCATATTATTATTATTATTATTATTATTATTATTATTATTATTATTATTGGTTATCAATAAATTCAATAATGATATTATGGTTTATGTGTTTATTAATGCAGATATCAATCGACCCAAATGTATGTTGATATTTAACCGAATAAACACATATATAATAATAAACATGCGATAATTTTTAAGTTTACATCTTATTAATAAATCAATCCAAAGAAGAGCTTATTAATTGACATGTTTTATTGTCAATGTTTATTATTAACTTTTATGGTTCATGTGTTTGTTAAGGTGGATATTTATCAACCCAAAGGTAGGTTAATATTTGGTCTGATAAACACATGTTTGATGATAAATATGTGACAATTTTTAGGTTACATGTCATTAATAAGTCAATCCAAAGATGACATTATTAATTGACATGATATATTGTTAATTCTTATTATCAAATTCTATAGTGTATGTGTTTATTAATGCGGTTATTAGCCGATCGAAAGGTTGATTGATATTTAGCCGAATAAACATATATGCCGTGATAAACAGGTGACGATTTTCTTTTGGTTCCATGTGATTAATAAGTTAATTCAAAGAGGGACTTGTTAATTGACATGATTTATTGTCAATGTTTATGTAACTTCCAAAAAATATGACCCAAAAAAATTATTTTTAACATTAATAAAACGTTATTCCAAAACATTGTCATACAACCAAGAAAGACCAAAATATATCACTACAATATAAAATATCAGAGTAAATCTTAAAACGTTGAATAAAGCGGTGTGAGCTCTCCAATCATCCAAGGCTCTTCTCCCTTAAACCAGAAGTACCAAACAAATAAACTAAAAACTGTAAGCACAATGCTTAGTGAGTTCCCCAAAATACCCCATACCATACATAACTTACACATACTGGGCCCCCGCTCGGCTTACAGATCTGTTAATCACCAGGCTCCGCCTAACATCGGACCCCTCCCGATACACACATAAGCATATAAACATATAATCATACTAATACATGTGATAATCACAAAGATAATAGCATACAATACAGTCATCGGGCCACGTCCAACATCGAACCCAACCTGACATCGAGCCCAGGTCGGTATACATACCAAATGCATACGTATGCAAGAGGCACGCAGACATATGATATCCTACATAATAAACCATGGGCCGACATTGGTACCTTCGACCCACTAAACACAGTGAGGAAGCTTACCTCAGACTGCTGAATCTCGCAAATAAATTTCTAGGTGCTGGTCCGACAATCCCCGCGCTATCAATCATAAAATAACATCTAATTGATAATTGGATCATGACTCATACTAAGTGTCTAAACTAGGGTAAAAGACCATTTTACCCTTTACCTAACTTGGCCCAAGGCCAAAACCCAAACCAACTACTCAAGAAGGCCCAATTCCAACAATGGTTACCCAAAGCTTAAAATATGGCCTAATCTTCCAAATTTGGCTCAAACCCTTTATGGTCCTTCAGCCAAAAGAGTACAATAAAATAACATCAGCCTACAAAAAAGAATTTTGATGGCCCAACAAAGCCTTGTATCCATGTCCATTTTGGAGGAGGTACATACTTCAGGCATTTATATCAATGCATTTGATGCGGGGGCAAATGTCAACATCGGTGTGACGTCGTTTCAAGACACTTCTCCTACTTCTCCTTTCAATGAGGAAGAAGATATCTTATTTGGAGATCATCAGAAGCCTATTTCTGATTTTATGTTCAGCCCCTTTAGAATAAACCTCAATAGCAATGATGATGATCCCCATATGACCAAAAGGCAGTTCCAGAAGATTAACGAAAAACTAGATTCTCTTTTAGAGTCTTCCACATCTTCATCTTCATCCAACTAGAAATACATACTGACATCCCACAAAGCCAATGTGGAGATGCTCACAACAGAAAATGACAAAGTCCTTAAAGATGCAACCAAGGCAATTCAAGCTTCTAAAAAGACCATTTCTGAAACGACCGCAAAAGTCGAAAAACTATCTCAGGAAGTGACTATTTTTATGGCTGAATTCAGAATCTCCTCTAAAAAAAATACCGAGGCAATGAATAAAGTAATCGTGGGATATCGTACATCTTTCCAAGCTGAGAAGGGGGCACTCTCATTTGTTCGTTTAGAAATTGAAGTTGAAAATGTTGAACTCACTTCCTCTGTTGCCTCAAAGATTGAAAAACTGCAAGCAAACCTGGTGATTGAAAATAAGATAATGGATGAGTTAGATGAGAAAACTCAAAAGGATAAGGTCATTGTTGAAAATTTGAAAAATGTTACCCATTCCAAAATCAACCTTGAAGAAGAGCGTTCTTTGATCAAAGGGTGCATTTCTAAGGTCAACGACTACCTGATGAGGCTTGTTGAGACTCGTGAATCGTTGTTTACAATCTCGGTTCAACAGAAATTATCAGAAAAGATTCAACTAGTATTTGCTATGCTAAATCAAATTATAGGTGTTTTGGGACCAGTTCTCTTCTAAAAAAGGGGGATACGAAGAACTATAGTAAAAGCCATCAACTGAACAAAAGGATAATGTGGCTTCTGACTCAGGAAAAGTTATCATGGAAGATGAAACTGAGGATAATCTGAATATGATATGATCCGAAAGGATTGCCATGGAAAAACGAGATAAAGAGCTGAATGATCTCCAGGATCTTTGGAAGAAGTTAGAAGCCGAGGAAGTTGATGCTAAGAATGCGAAGCTTATGAAAGTCAGAAGTCATTGTTCCCTCTTTGGACAATCGATCGCATTCAGAAAGAGGCAATTGATGATCCGAGCATCTACTAGATGGAGCCCTCCATTTCATTTCATCTGAAAAATGATATGGAATCTTAATTTCATTTTCCCATCACACCCAAGACTTTTCTCTTTCATTGTTTTGAGAAGATTGAGAAGTCTTTGATCTCGGACGGTTCAGTTAATCAGAAGCTCTTTTCATTTTACTTAAAGTATGCCAAGGCACAGTATAAGTATCAGAGCTTGAAGAAAATAAGTGTTGTAAATGTTAAATCATCTGTTCAGACTGAGGACTTTCTGAACATACAGTTCAAGGGATTTGGAGGAGCTAATCATATTATGGATGAGTTCACTTTGGAAGACTTGCCATTTATGAACCCATACGATTGGATATCCTTGTTAAACCTTGTTATGAAAGATGAAAAGAAGTACGCGCCTATTGTAGCGCATTTGAAAAGAATAATCATCTTCTACATCCTGGATATTGCAAATCTGGATGTGGAGATTGCATCAGTTCTGAAAAAGAGGCCAATTCTGAAACCGAAAGAGCAACCAAAGGATATTCAGAAGATGGGAGTGGGAATTATCCAAAAAGAGCATTGTATCATCGTTTACAACAGAAAGCAAGGAGAAGCAATTCAGAAAAGTATCTTCTTTCTGCAAGACAAACACCTGTATTTTACAGCTGCTCTGAAGACTATTCTTTCTATGGACCAAGCATGCAAAGTAAACCCCTCTTCCGACCTCAAATGCTTTTCGGATATGATCAGATGGCACTTATATGTCTGAAACTCGCTTCTAAATATCACGCCTAAACTATTCGACGTGCAAAGAATACAATAAAGACTCTCATTATGGATTTTACACAAAAGGGGAGATTGTTGGGTCTGTTATGTGTTGTGTCAAATATGTGCTTATATAGTTTTTTTATTCTGAAATGGGTCTGTCCATTCTCGGATCCACTATCTAGAGCCGAGAAGTTCCATCTTTGAAAACTCTTCTATTTGTATGCTAGCATAAAGAAGTTTCATCTTTGAGAACTCTTCTAGAGCCGTTTAATCAAAGAATTAGGCACGCTTTTGATCATTGATTTCTTTTCATTAATTTGCCTCTCAAATATAGAATCTATCAATCATCATTATTGTTTTTACATTCATGAGATCCATGAACATGGCTGGAGCATTGGTGAGCCCAAAAGACATCATCACAAACTTGTAATGACCATAACGAGTCTGGAAAGCTGTCTCCTGCACATCCTCATCTCTAACCCTCATCTGATGATAAACCAAAGGCAAATCAATCTTGGAAAACCAAGATGCGCCCTGAATCTAGTCAACAGATCATTAATCCTCGAGAGTAGATAACGGTTCTTCACCATTACCTTATTCAACTCCCGGTAGTCAATATGCATACGATGAAACCCATCCTTCTTCTTTATAAATAAGACCGGTGCTCCTATGGAAAACTGCTTGGTCAAATGAATCCCTTTTCTAACAGCTCTTGAAGTTCTGTAGACAACTCTTTCATCTCGAGAGGAGCCAACTGATACGGTTCTTTGTCTATCAGAGTCGTACCTAGCACCAGATCAATCCTGAACTCAACCTTCCTCTCCAGAGGCACCCCAGGAAAATCCTCTGGAAACGCATCCGAATACTCCCCCACAGTAGACACATCATCCACAGTTGCCTTACCATTATCACGGGTATCCATTGTTGGATAAGGTGTCTAAGCCCATAAGTATATTTGGTATGTACTTGACCCGATTTACCATGGTCCATTTGGGTTGCATTTCACATAAACAATTTGTAAGGATGGACTTTTGAGAAGAGGATATTTATGATTTATTAATATATTATAATTTTTAATATATTAATATGAAATCATATTATTATCATTGGTGAAGAATTAATTTGGAATTAATTTAGTGATCAAAAGAAGACTAATTAAATATGGTTTCTTATAGAGTGGGTCAAGGTTATTTAGGATGGGCTAAACCATTATGAAAGTCTGTGGATAGTCCATGGAGGTTTTTACCCATGGATCCTAAGTTATGAAAGTTCATGGGAATTAAGGTTTACATGGATGTAACCCTAATCATGCCACACTATATAAGAACTCCTCTAGCTACAAAAATAGACACTAGTGTGTGTGTGTGCAAGAGCATAACCAATTTTGTGTGAAAAGATACTCTCTCTCAAGTCTTCTAATTGTTAGTAGTGATTTGTGGTTCAATTTGAGGCATTCACATTATTGGTGCTAGGCTCTTAAAGCTCCAAGTAACAAGCTACAAGAAAGGTATGTTATCTAACTAGTTTTATTATACAAGTATGAAAGTTTTTTATGCTAGTTAGGGTAATGCTTTGGAAAAATCAAATTGCATGTGTAATTAGAGAAAACATAGATCCAAATCATTTAGGGTTGTATGTGCATCTTAAGGTTGTTAGAGTGCTCAAAACACATAAGTGGTATCAGAGCCTAGGATTGTTTTACATTATACTTGATGCTACTTGTTTTCATAGCTTAAAAACATCAATTCTCTGCTTTCTCGAATGTGGGCTCGACGAGTCCACTGACAGACTCACTGAGTCACCCCTTTAAACTGACCAACTCGTCGAGTGAGTTCATGCACTCGACGAGTTGGTGCTCCAAAATGCAGAATTTCAAGTTTTAAAGCCGGAATTGGACTAGAATCATTACCATAAACTGTTTTTTGAATAAATAAACTTGTTTTTATGTGGTAATGATTATGCTTATCCGATTTCAAAGAAATTGTAAAAGTTTCATGTTTGTATTAGTTTAGATGATCAAGCTAATTTCATGACATTTGTTTGATATGAATTATCTTAATCATATGAGTTAGTTGAATCATGTATGAATTATTTGATTATTGTGTTAATTAAAATAATGATCTAAATTATTTTAATGGGCTCCATAATTTGTCCTCAAGTTATGGAATTCCAAAAGTCTTTTCTTTAAAAGAGTCATTAAACTCATAGGTTATACAAAATGAAGAGTCTCATTTTAAAATCCATTAAACTAATATGTTATGGAGATGAAAAGTTATGACGAGTTTCAAAAGTTGCCCTCAAGTTTTGAAATTTGTGAAGTCACACACATTAATACTTTAATTCCAATCCCTAGAACTTTACAAATTAAAAATTCAACCCTTATACTATTATAATATTATGAGTTTAATAATATATATATATATATATATATATATATGTGTGTGTGTGTGTGTATAAGAACAAGTCAGTCTTACCGTTAGTAGGCCTTATTCATGAAGTCAGTCTATAAGGGGGTATAAGGTTACTGCTTATAAAATGACAGTTTAATGGGTGTCCATTCTCACCCAACGCCTCCTTGATTGGTGGAGAGTCGTTAGCCGAACGGGTAGGATATGATACTATTTCTCATTAAGTATGATGATAATTATAAAGTAACTAAATGTTTTATAAATTCCCAATCTTAGTTACTTTAGGAAAATGTGAAATTGATGCTAACACATGAAATTAAACTTTTCACCTTACCAAGTCATTAGTGAAGCATGTGTGGTTAACTGGCAAACTAACATGGACTAGTAAGGGTGGAAAAGGGTGTCTTAATGTTTGTCATAGATTGATGGAGTGTGTAAGGTTAACCGACACATCGATTAGGTGATAAGTAACATTAAGAGTACCAAGTATATTTTCATGGTTATTCACACCTTGTTTGTGATCCTCGGTATCCCAGTCATAAACTTGAAGGGCATAATCGAGATTTAAACATGCCATTGAAAAGTTCAATGAATCTCAAAATAATCTAGGAATTTCAATTCATTAAAAACCTAATATTCAATTTTGTTTTTCATGGTGGAAATTGGTAAATCGTCATTTACCTACCTTCAGATATTTTATAACTTGGATTATGGCATCCCTCTTCCAAATTGTAAAATATTGTGTTAGGTCCTAGCCTTAATATTTCAGTTGGGTGTTATATTAAGGACTCTTATATAATCTAAACTTTTTTCTTTTATTTTCCAAATGTCTTCCAATAATTCTTCTAGCTCAAACCCTATAGGCTCCTTCTCTCTTATGAACCTTTATGGGAGAGTCATCTTCGATGGTACTAATTTCAATGACTGGATTAGGAACATCAGGATGGTCACTCGTTATGATGACAAGGAATATGTCCTAGACAAGGTTCTTAAGGTCATTGTTGAGTCTTTTGCTACTCCCGAGGAGATTTTTGAGTACACTACCGATGAAAAGGATGCCACTAAGGTGCCCTGTATCATGCTGGCAACTATGACAGTAGAACTCCAAAAGTCCTATGAGGATTTCTACCGTTATTTGATGCACCAAGACCTAATGGAAATATATCATCAGAGTGCTCGTCACGAGAGGTAGGAAATTATCACCTCTATGATAACAACTAAAATGAAGGATGGAGAGTCCATGACAGCCTACTCGCATAAAATGCAAAGGTTTGTGGACTGTCTGCTAAAGTTGAATGTAAACTTCGATGAGGAACTTGCCATAGATATTATTCTACATTCTCTACCTCCATGTTATGATCAGTTTCGTATGACTTATCATATGAACAAGGAGGAACTCAGCCTCAACAAGCTTTAGGGACTTTTGAGGACTGATGAAAGTAGTCTCAAAGGTAAGAATGTTGTTACCACTCCTACTACTGTCGTAGTTCTGGCAATCGGGCAAGTCTAAAGGAAGAAGAGGAAGATCCCTTCCAAGGGTCACAAGGGAAGGTCTCTTGATGGGTCCTCTTCTAGTAGAACTAAAGTTAGTTTTGCTACTCCTTCCACCAAGCAGAGTGCTTCTGTTATCATGAAAAGGGGCATTGGAAGCGAAGCTACCCCAAGTACTTGCAGGATGTTAAGGATGGGAAGTAAAACCCACCCACGTAGGTATTTACATTATATTCTCTAATAACTCACCACATACTAATTCTTGGGTCCTTGATACAGGTTATGGAATTCACATTTGTTCTAATTTGCAAGGACTAAAAAGAAGTAAGGATGTGGAGCACGGGAAGATAAACTTAATCATGGGGAATAAGAAAGCTTCACCTGTCACCAAGATTGGAGTTTATTCTTTATTGCTTTGTAGGGGGTTAAAATTAGATTTAAATAATTCCTGCTACTCGTCTAAAATGGCGAGGAATATTATTTCATTTCATGGTTTGTACAAACAAGGTTTTAGTTTTTCGTTTGCTAATGAAAGTGGTGCTATTAATGCTTTTTATAATGATGTATTTTATTTTAAAGAATTGTCTTGTAATGGTGTATATGAAATTTTGTTGGATGTAGATAACTTAGGAAATAATGTATTGCATATTGATTCTTCCACTAATTTGGATAAAGCATCCTTATGGCATTGTCATCTGGGACATGTCAACAAGAAGCAAATAGGCTAACTCCAAAAGGTTGGAGTCTTGGAGTCATTTGACTTAAAGTCAGATGATAGATGTGAATCTTGTTTGCTTGGAAAGATGACTAAGTCACCCTTCATTAGTACTTGTGATAGGGGTAAAGGTTTGTTGGACCTGATGGGTTTTGAGCATACTAACACTCCTATGGTGTACATCCAACCCTATAAACCTTGGATCTATGTTTTCTCTATTATACATGTAAATATTCAATATTCCAAGGTTTTATCCTAACTAGCATAACATGAAGCAACTATACTACAAAAGCCTAGTTAGAGGACATACCTTTTGATGAAGCTTGAATTCTTGAACCCTAAGAGCCTTTCCCCAATAATGTGGAAGCCTCAAGTGGAATCACAAAT